CCCATAGGAACCAGCCAATCAAATCCTTTACAAATTACGTTACGGAACCCCCTCTTATAAAAGTAACCCAGCTCCAATAGTTCTTTAGTTTAATTCCAACACGGACAAAACTGTGGACTCACTATAACTCCCAGAGACTCACAGTTAAAGAAGCATTAGAGGAATCATCGTATAACAATAACAGTATATTGGCTTGCAATATACTAAAAATGTTGAAGATCGACCTGCTTTATTTTGACCAAAATAATTTGCATAATCGGAACACGATAACGAGCAGTAAACGATATATTGTGACAGTGCAGGCACTTAGTGAGAACATTTGACCCAGTCTACATATGAACGTTGCGTGAGGATGATGAGGATGATGAAGATCAATGAAATGGGGGGGGGGTGGATCCATTAGCGGTGTGGGGGTCTCGTTGTCTACTTGAAGTCAGAGAGAGGAGCTTTTTACGGGAGTGTGTGGGAGTCGCTGCCGGGCTCGGCAACCACTTGAGCCAGATGACTGATGCTGGGAAAGCAGAAGGAGATCATCATTAATTGATGCAGTGGCAAGTGTGGGTGGCTGTACCGGGAGGACGCATACGCACAAATACACACACGCAACACACATTCACATACGCGCACAGGCAGGAGTACAAAGGCCAGGGTACTTACTGTGAGTTGTGTCTGGTAAAAGAGCACGGTATATTTGAATGTTCAGACTAGATTGTTCGGTGACGTAACAGCTCCATTATCACAGATTTTTGGTGTGTGCGATTGTGGCTGTTAGTCATTGAGTGTCTGTTATTTTGAGTCAGCCTCTGTACTTTTGTCATTTGATTCAGATTTGGAGCTGTATATGTTATATGTTTATTTTTTGTTTGCAGAGGTTGTGTGTAATATGTTAAATGTTGCATCTCTTGGTCTTAAGCAGTGCATTTGATAGCATGGAATTATAGTAGAGATTTTGACAGATTCTGAAATTTGAGTATTCTTAAGAGTTAATGAACACGTTTTATTAACCAGAAAAAAGGGCTTCAGTTACCATTAAATGCTGTTATTGTTTGGCTGACATTTACTGCTAGTGAATTGTACATTTGAAAATATTCAGAAGTAACCTCTGGAAATCTTTTGGTGACTGTGGGTCCAAGTACTAAGCTTTAGTGTCAGATAAGGTGTGAGTACACTGCCTATTGATATAATCTAACTAGCTAACACTAGAGCTCACCAGTGCAGCAGTAGATGGTGATGACTCATGGACTTACTCGTGATATTTTGTCATCCACAGTGTTTGACTTGTAGGCCTATATATTTTCTCCCTGACTTTAATGATGGAATGTAACAAATACACAAATGGTGATTTTAGTATTTGAATACTGACAGAAAAGTTCATGTGCAGTGTACATTTTAGGAAATTCTCAGGCCGCAGTGTCAAGTTTTAGAAATCAGACAAAACAGCTTGTAGGAAAACACTTTCATGATGCAGGTCTCGTACAATCAGGCCAAGCTAAGCAGCTGCAGAGACTACATTATGGGATTCACAATTCTGTTGTTCATTACTAGATTAATTACATTTTTACTGCAAAATAAAAAATGTCAATGAACACACAACCACAGCTTATTCTTAATCCTTGTCAAGTAAAATAATATAATACTGCAGTTCAATAAAACTTGTGGTTATAAGTTGTCATCTTTTATGTAGCCAAAAAATGTAGTGCCCATATCATGAAAACAAAATTTCCCTGGCTTTTTTGAAATAAAAGACTTTGATGTAATATGTTAACATTGTTAAAGTTTCAAAAAACACTGTTCACTCTCCAGTCCCAAATGCAAGCTAAGCCCAGTTTTAATTGATTGCTTCTGTGTTGTCGCGAAAACCCATTTACAAATATCCACCTAGTCAGCTGACAACAGTTTAGCTCTGCCCATTCACGCTGAAGTTACATTGAGCGTTTCAGCGTGGACTGCAGCCAGGCAGAACAGAGCTAAATTACATATGTCAGTATTAAAGGCACAGTAACTAAAACAGCCTCTTTAGTTCTAAAGAATAAAGAGAGTTTTTACAAGAGTCTTGTAAAAATAAGTTATGATTTTTGTCACAAAATCCACACAAACATTATAAGTAGACTTCAAGGAGAAAATAAAACTAAAAATGTGAAAAATGCTCCTGTAAAGCAAAAAACAAAAATGTACCTCCACCCTGTATGAAATCTAATCTTAAAAATGGATAAAAAGAAAAAGGTATGTTACATAGCAAAAACAGTAGTGGCAGCCATCTTGAAACTGAGATTTGGCAAATTGAGCAGTATGGTCTGTACTTTTGTCCACTTTGCTGGCTGATTCTAATGTTGTCCGTTTTGTAAAGTGATTGACTACATTTGAAGGAAGGGATGAATTATGACAATCTGATTTTCACGAATCTTTTGGTTTCATTGCCTTTTTATTAGTTTTGTCAGTCATTATTCTTTCCAAATGTTTATGCTATTGTAGTGTACTCTGGTACTGAATGTAATGTAAATATAAATAAATAAATAAATGCAGCATCAGTTCCACCATGCTTTGTGCCAAAACAGTATCTTTTTGACTCTCCAAATGTCTTTTTGTTTATTGTGTGTGTGTAACTGGCATGTAGGTCTGAGGGTGAAAGGCTATGCCTGTTCTTTCAAGTTCAGCTGAACACTCATGTTTGACAGATGTTTATGTTGCTTCATGTGTTGTAGTGTTAACTGCCATGCCACGGGGCAGCAGGTGGAGGATTAAGAGTATATCCCTGTGTATATTTTGCGTATGTGTGACCGTCACAGACATGGTTGAGGTCAGCTAGTAAAAATTTCTAGGCTGTGTGTGCTTACACTGACCGGCCTTGGCAATTAATGGTTTGAAAGGTGTGTTATGTCTGTCTGCTTGGGATCTGTGTGAGTGTGCGTGTGGGAGAGGGGTTCCCTGGTAATTGACATGCTGTAAAGCAGCAGGTGAAGGCTTGTTTGTGCTTTGCTAGCGACAGTAACTGCAGGGGGAGGACACTCTGTCAAATCCCGGCCTAAAGAACCAAAACTTGGCACTTTGCTGAGACGTGGAGCCATCTGGTAATGACACCCAGCCTTATCGAAGCCTAACGAGCCATAACGAGCCACGGTATCGGGGCAGAGCTTGTGTCTTCTGCAGTTTGCCACAACCCCGGCTGGCTGAAATGACTCAATAGCAGCATTTTTGCATGGCACGGTCAGCAGTAATGACGTCTGACAGCCTGTTATTGAGTACAAGAAGAGGCATCTGCATTATTCCTTAGATCCATTAAGGAGAGGGAATGCAGGATTTTCTTGTTTTACATGCAGTGATCTTTCACCCCCCTGGCTTAATGAGTCCTGATGAGCTCTAACAAGCTCTATTGTTAACGGTGTCAGAACAGCTCATTTGTATGTCACTGAAAGGTGGGTGAGAGCGAGCTGATACTGCCATGATATGAACTCAAAGCACTCCTGAAATTTTAACAAGCATAACAAGCACAGGACAGCAAACTGTTAATGATGGGATAAAGAATGCTAATGGATTAGAAATCAAACAGCGCATATTCTTAGAATGTTGTGCTTTTCCTGCCAGAGACAGATTTAAATGAACTAAAGCTAAACATCATGACATCTGCTGTCATGCTGACCATCATGACCTGACCAACCTGCAGTCATCTTTTTGACATTTCCCTATATTTCCCTTGAGATTCTCACCACAAAAAGACTCATTCTACTGTACTTTAATGAGTTATTGTAGATGTCTCATGGCAGAACAATTATAGGCTTTAAGCTGCTTCAATAAAGTTGCTTCCTCCCCCTGCTTGCCGTAGCAAAAGAAAAAAAAATAGTAATAATTGTCATGGTTTTAGACAAAGCCTATAATCAAGTCCCTTTTTGTGATTTAAAAATGGCCGTCTCAAGCCTGTCACCAGCAAATTGCCTGTGAATTATAAGATTATTGTGTAAGCTATTTAAGAAGCTTTGTGCAGGCCTTTTTCTTTGTCGTAAAAAAAAAAAAAACTCAGCTAAGCTACATTTATTGTCATTGACTCACAGGTCTCTAAACGTATTGTTGGAAATCTTTGTACAGTAAGAGCCTTCAGAAGGAGGAAGGTGAGGAAAAAAGAGAAGGAGGGCATGGGGAATGGGTGAAGTAGCTCTAGAAAATATTTAAGGAAGTATTCTAAATGGTTTGTGGGTACAGAACAATTTCAAAGTGCTTGCTACTATATTTACAGAAAAGGATTATTGGCCCTCCACATACTTCTAAAACAGTCATTACTATTTCAGTATCAGTTTCAAGATGCTAATTAATTGGGGATTGGAGAATATTTCTGGGATATACTGAACATTGTTCATGAATTTGCCATGGAAGGAAGAGGAAAGAAGATGACACTCGGAAACATTTACCAAGTACTACTTTAGCATCCAAAGTAATCATTAGTGCTTCACAACAGCTGCCAGCAGTTAATTGTAGTTGGTTTTACTCAGGAGAATATTCCAGTATTTTGTAAAGGAACAGGGAAAACGAAGTAAACATGCTGCAAAGACAGCTGATAGAAAAACTTCCAGCATCACGCATGGAGTAAATGCAGAAATGAACTGAGTTGCCAAGTTCTACCTTGGTGTAAGCAGAGATAACTGAGAGAAAAGCAGCTTAATTAAATATTTAGACTGGCCCCAGTGGTGAACCATGGGGAACCCCATAAGAGTAGTGCCTTGACTTAAGCGATACCAAATGTTTTTTTTCATTGGACGTTTAATTTTTTAATGAGTTTTAATGAATTAGCATCTTATTTCATGCTTGATGAGTTAATGCATTCATGCTTTTCATAGTGGATTAAACCCATGAGAGGCAGTTGTGTGTGGTGTGGTGTTTTTAGTACTTTACAGTCCCTCTTATGTGATTCAGCAGTTACTCTTGTTCAGTGTGTTTACATTTGGCACTCATTTACTGGTCTTTTCTATGTATATTAATGTTTATCTGTGTCTGTGTGTGTGTCCCACCAGCCTTTGTAACACTCCTAAACGGTGACCAGGCGCAAGATGCCATCCGTTCACTGCACCAAACGTCAGTCCGTGGCCGTGACATCACCGTCCAGCTGCAGCCCACTGATTCGCTGCTGTGTGTCACCAACCTGCCTCACACCTTCACTGCCACTCAGTTCCAGGAGCTGGTGCGGTCCTACGGGAACATCGAGCGCTGCTTTCTGGTCTACAGTGAGCTGACGGGCCACTCCAAAGGCTATGGCTTTGTGGAGTACATGAAGAAGGACTCGGCCTCTAGGGCTCGCTCAGAACTGCTGGGCAAAGTGCAGGGCGACCGCACGCTCATGGTGCAGTGGACCGACGTCAACCAGCTGACCACTGCCGAACACCTCCACTCCAAGTGCCTGTGTGTGGACCGGCTGCCTGCTGATTTTGACGACTCAGAAGAGCTGGCACACATCTTCTCTGTACGCTACAAGCCTGTCTTCTGCCAGGTGAGCACCAGAGGGAGGGGTGGATCACATTTAGGGACTTAAGCTTGACTGACGTGGTTGAAAAAAGAACACAGGTTTAAGGAAAAAGTGTACAGTGAGGTTAAACAGGTATTCAGACACTTCATTTTTGTTACTTAATGTATTTCCAATGCGTATATACACTTTAAATTTACTGTCTTATATATTTGTTCTCATAAATATGAACAAAGAAAATATATATTCATAAGGGGAAACAAAGATATATTTAAATAACTGAAAGGGGAAAAAAGTATTCAGATACTATTAATTCAGATACTAATAATTATTATTATTTGTTAATTTGACAGGCAAGAAAGTATCAAGATACTATGTTAAAGTGAGCGTATACCTAAAGGTTGAACAAATTATCAAGTACTACATATTAAAGAAAAATAAAAATAAAAAATGTTCTCATCCAAGTTGCACTAGACGTAACTATAAAAGATGCTGCCATTGGTTGAGAGTTTATGCGATAAGTAGCAATCATGGTGAAGGTGAAAAAGTTTCTTAAAGTTCTCAGGGACAAAATTATTAAACAACATGTCAATAGAAAAGGCTACAGAGCCCTACCAAAGACCTTAAACTTCCCTGTCAGCACAATTGGTTTGATAATACACAATTGGAAAGTTCAAGGAAGTATAACTAAGCATCCTTAGATAGAGAAAGAGCTCTCAGACTAAAGATAAGGAAGGTAAGAGAGAAGCCAGCAGTCACTTAAGAAGAGTTACAGGATGACATGAAAGCAACAGGAACAACAGTTCCACAGAGAACTGTAAGGAATGAACAGCACCGTCTTCTTATGCAAAAAGAAACACAGAGACGTGTGTCTAAAATTTACTCATGAGCATTTAGATATATTGGAACAGTGGTACTGGGGCGTTACACATCATCAAAGGTATGAATAGAGTGATATACTAGGAGATATTAGAGGGGAATTTAATTTCATCGGCCAAGAAATATGAAATGATGAAGGTTTCAACAAGACGACCTCAAACATACAGCCAAAATACCTCAAGGTGAAGGTGCTTGCACCTCCTTACTTGAATCCCATTGAAAATTTATGGACCACTTTGAAATTGTGAATCCATTAGAAAATGCCGGTAACTGTGGGGAATTGCAGTTTGCCAAGATTAATGGGCCAAAATTCATCCACAATGCTGCAAAAAGCTGATTACCTCTTACCATACACATCTCAAAGCTGTTACTGCCAACAACTGCTTTGCAACAAATTACCAATGTTATTCATTTATGGCATTGACTGCCTATCAGTTTCAATTTTTAAAACCTACCTTTGTTTTTTTTTTATTAGAATTTTAAATACAAAGTAAAAAAAAACTGTGAATTAAATGGATATATGCCTGTAACATTTGTATTTGTTGTATTAAATAACAAATACAAAAGTATCTGAATACTTGTTTCCCCTCACTGTGTTTTCCACCTGCCTGCAAAGAAATGAAGTTGAAAGTTATTTACATTGAGTATATATACATACGTACAAATATATGCATTAAGGAAAGCATATGTCTGTCTTCTCATTTAGAGAGTGCTTTTATGTACATGTGTTTGTGCATCACGCTGTTATCACAGTCTATTAGAGAAGTGGCAGCTCTTCTGAGTGTGGTTTCAGAGGTCAGACATCACTTTGAGACACAGTGACGAGGGTGCTGCTGAAACTCTACCCGCAGCTTGAGTTCTCTTTTGTGTTAATATGGCAGCTTTTTCCTTAGCCAGCCAACCCCAGCAAATCAATACCCCATCCCAGCAACAGTTTTAGTCATGACGCAGAATCAGGTTTCTACAGCCTCCACCCTAATCAAAACCATTTAAAGCCTAAGGCTAAAACTGATCTTAGGCCTGCCATTAGGAGGGGCTCCAGCCAACACAGAAATCAATACTCACACCCTCACAACATGAAGCTTGACTGTAGAGCTGCACCCACACCGTGCTCATATGCAGAAGTGTTGGAGGTGGTTGAAGCGCAAGGCTTTGACCTCACAGTTCATCATTCTACTCTTAGTCATCATGAGCTTTTAGGCTTTTAGGCTCCTGCTTTACGTTAGCCAGTGTGCTCTCAATCTCATTTTCTCTTTGAAAGATGCCAGAAAATGAGAAGTGACTTGCAGGTGTGGTGGCTTAAATGGATAATTATCTTATTAATATTCATTAGTTCACTGGTTGTCATGGTCTAATGATAGCAGCCGTTGACTCATGTGATGTTAAATAGTGAAATTTGAAGGGAGAACTATTTAGTGAGTCCTGTGAGTATGCAAGAATCCAGTTCATACGACTGAATATTGGATCTTCCTTTGGGAATGGTCTTAGTTAACTGATGACTGGTCTCAAACTTCAAGAGCAACCTTACCATATTTAACATTGTAGTCAAAAAATGCTGGGCTAAAAACCTAATTTAAGTCATTTGCCAAACCCAGCAATGAGTCACAGAACACATGCTGGGTTAATATGACCAAACACTGCTGGGTTATGCAAATGACCCAAAAGGCTGAGTCATAAAAGTTACCCTACTATATAATTACTTTGACCCGACACCAATAATGGGTTGTTTTTACCTATTTTGTTTGGTACTGTTACTGTTGAATTAAAATAAAACATTTATTAATAATAAAGATGATGAGAAAAATCAAAACAAAAAACAAAGATCTTTTTGGACACCCAAAAAAACAAACATTTTGCATGAAAAACAACATCTGATTCAAAGTACTGTACCAGACAGTAAAAGAAATGTGGTGATAACCAAGTCTAATAAAGATTGTTTTATAAACTAGCTAGGTTAGCTATGTAACTTGGCTAATTTTAGCCAACTACGTTACGTTTATTATACAGATAACGTTAATTATCAACTTAATTAGTACCTGACATGCAGCTTTAAACCTCAGCAGTGACCAGTAAAGCTGTGACTCCCAAAATCACAACTATAAAAATACAGCTTGTAATATAGTTTTTACTTGAAATATAACAGCTGTCTTTATTATTGTCTCTTGAGAGTAAATGGTGAAACATTTAAAGCAGTTTTCACCCATAACTGTGCCGCTGCCTGATGAAAAGCTGTTAAACTAACTCTGTTGTAATCAGCTTCCTCACATGCTGTTATGGTGTGAAAATGTATGTTATGTTATTGTGATACAGTCGCAAACCCAGTGGCTAAAACTACCCAGAAAGCACCCAGTACTTGGGAAACAACCTAAAAAATGACCCAACGTGCTAAACCTAGCATTTGGATAGAAAAACATGTTTACGTGTTCAAAATAAACTGCATGCACTTAAGCAATATACATGAGTCAGTCAATAATTGGATTTCATTCTGAATAGATGCTGTATGCACCTCTACATTTGCTTTGCAGTTTGCCAATAAACCCACCAGAAGATGGATGTGACATGTTGGTGCAGGTGTAGTGTCAAATTTAATATAAAGGCAGAAATTCTAATAAGGTTTTTGTAATTATTGATTTTTTCTCTCTTTTTTTGTTTTTTCTTTTTCAACACAATGGTGCAGGTATAGTGCTGAATTAAGTATGATGTTTACTGTTTTTGGAGCAGCTCTTTTCTGTCTCTATCTCTGTTCTCTACAGATGTGTAAAAGCTTAAGCATCAACAGTGTAACCCTGTTATTGTGCTGAAAAGTGTCTTAACCAGATTCCTTGAAATCCACAAGCAGCTTCAGTCCAATGTAAAGTAGTGAAGTATGTTGTTTACATGATCACTTGAATAGTTTGGTCATTGGAATCATCATCATCATATCATTAGTGTGCATGTAAACACACTTAATGTTACTTCTCTGAGCAGTCGAGGCTGTGCAGATTCTGTATTGATTTTGTGATTTTACTCATCTTTCTCTCTCTTCTCTCACCCACTCTTACTCTGCTTTTGCTTCTGAGAGTCTGACATGTTTAATGTCAGTGTTCTTAGGATTGTTCTGACCTCTGTTTGGGAAGTGGATTAGTGAGATCATCCATCATACTTCAGAAAAGTGTCCCAGCCAGCGTCAGAGACGAACACGTAGACTGTTCCAGAAATGCAGGCTGTTGCAATACCTAAGTATGAGGCACAGAGCATTCTAGCAGTTGTGTTGAGTGGGTGCGCGTATGTAGACATGCAGAGAGATACTAGCCAATAATTTGCTTACGTGTGACTTCTTCCTAGTTTCTGTTCATCATGTGGTTTCACGCTGATATTCGAGATTATGTTGGTTGCTTCCCCTTTTTACACATCTAAATTTGGCACAAAGACGCATACATTCACATACACACCTCCAACTGCATCGGATTCTCTCTCTCACGCTCTCTCTCGCTGTCTCTCTTTTTTCCTTTCTCTATCTGTATCTCTGTCTCTATTTCTCTCTCTCTTATTCTCTGTTTGTCTGTCTCTGTCTATTTCTGTCTGCCTCTGTCTCGCTCTCTTTCTGTGTCTGTGTTTCTCTCTGTCTCTCTCTCTCTCTGTCAGTTCTGTCAGTTTGACATGAAGTTTGACAAGCATTAAGCCTTTTGACCTTTGGCCTGGCCTCTTCACACAGTCTGAGAGGCGGTTGTCTTTGTCCGTTTAAACTGTCAGATGCATGTACACACAGAGACTTAAACGCACATTTTTTCATGTTGCAACTTTTTAAAGGGCCCACCTATTCAGCTTACAGCAGTTTAGCTCCACCCATTTATGCTGAAGTTATAAAGAGTGTTTCAGCCTGGACTGGTTTTTGAATGTGGCACAATACAGGATACCCATTCAGAACAGAGCTCAGTTACATATCACTGTTGTCGGAAGAAAACCTCATATCTCCAAAATGATAACTTTACAGGAAAAGGTAAAAACCTACTTCTTTTAATGTAAGTCAGTGGAACCAGACTTTTTTCCAATTCATTTTGGGCCATTTCTTTTGGTTTTACTTTTTTTTTTTTTCAAATTTACACATAATGTAAAGGGCAACAGGCATTTTCAATATATGTCAAAAACTGAAAAATGACAAAAATGGA